GCTGTCCCTGTCCTGGGAGGGTTTGATGGGGAGAAACGGTGTGGAGGATGCTTTACTCTGTATCTAACCCCGTACTGTCCCTGTCCTGGGAGGGTTTGATGGGGAGAAACGGTGTGGAGGGAGCTTTACTCTGTATCTAACCCCGTGCTGTCCCTGTCCTGGGAGGGTTTGATGGGGAGAAACGGTGTGGAGGGTGCTTTACTCTGTATCTAACCCCGTGCTGGGAGAGTTTGATGGGGGACAGTGTAAAGGGTGCTTTACTCTGTATCTAACCCCCGTGCTGTCTTTGGTTTGATGGGGGGGATGGGGTGCAGTGTTGAGGAGATTTCACTCTCCATTTAAAGGGAGAGGTGGGGGGGGGGGGGGGAGTGTGGTTTGGGCCTGGATCGAATGGAGTGTGTGGGTTGTGGTGTGTAACATACGCTGCGGTTGTATTTTATTTTCAGTGTGAAAAGTGCGACCTGCATTTCAGACACAAGAGCCAGCTGCGGCTCCACCTGCGACAGAAACATGGGGCGATCACTAACACCAAGATACGCTACAAGATTGTGCCAGAGCTGTACGTGAGCGGGCACCAGGCCTGCTAGAGCTCAGTCACACTAACTGCGGTCTCTCTCCGTCTCTGTCTCTGTCTCTCTCTCTCCTTTTTCACACTATCCCAAAGTAAACGGCAGTAGGGCACCCCTCATGGAGGGAACCTAACCCCCCTCCACAGGCTCAGCTCAGAAACACTGAGTCACAATCTCTGTCTCTGTGCCTGTGTGTGTGTGTGTGTGTGTGTGTGTGTGTGTCTGTCTGTCTCTCTTGTGCTCTCTCTCTGTCTCTTTTTTTCTCTTTCTCTGGGAGCTGGGGATGGGGCAGGGGGAGGGGTGGACGTCAGAGTTTTTGGGGAAGGTGAAGGGATCGGGGGAGTCGGGCCATGTCGGTGGAAAGAGTGTTGCTGGGGTGGGGGGTGTCTACTGCGTGGCTTTTGAGACTGTGAGGAATCTACAGTGTGTTCTTCCAAGATTTTTGTACAGTGATTTTTATCTTTTGTTCTTGGCCAGCTGGTGTGACTGCAGGATGGTCGCTGAAGCTAATGGGATCTGGGGCCGTTGACTGGCTCCATCCTGTCTGCCCCCTGATGGGCAGCAGTTTGTTAGGATGGTATGGAGGAGCCATGTGCTCCCCATTTACACCCCCAACCCCCACCCCCCAAACTCCTGATGCTGGGATAGTGACACTCCAGCCCGAACAACTGTTGCTCATTCTGTGGTTTCGAGGTGAGAACATTTAGTGCACAGGCAGAAAGAGGCCATGCTCTGCCATTCGGTTACCTCCGGCTGATCTAAAAACTTCAACTTCAACGCCACTTCCCTGCCCTGGCTCCGTAACGAGGGGGGTGCTGTGCTGTCAGAGGGTCGCTTGGTTGTTTGCTGGTGTCCTGCTGCACTTGGAGATACTTGACAGACTTAATGTAAAGCACTTTTGAGATATCCTCAGGTTGTGCAAGGTGCTATTGAAATGCAGGTTCTTTGTTTCGAGTCGAGAACTGGGAGAAGCCAAGCGAATGGGGAGGAATTTAACGTCTTGCATCCACTCGGGGTTTGCTGGACAAATCTTTCGGATGCCTGGGGAAGAAAGGAAAACAGTCTTTCAAGTGGGGAAAAAGATAGCAGGAGCTAGCTGGCTTATAATGTGTGTGTGTGTGACTGTGTGTGTGTGCAGTGCTCAGGGGACACAGCCAGAGATGGGTATGTAATTGGCCACGATTCCAGTCACACAATCAGTGATGGGGATCCAGCTTGCTCAGGGATCCTGCTCGCAGCGTAGTGACCCTATCTGCAGAAGATTAGTGTGTTGATGTCAGCCGCTCACTGATGTCCTGGCCCCTCAAAGACTCACTCCAGTCCGTCGCTGGAGAACAAACCCAATCTTGTACCAAGTGCAGTCAATCCAGTCCCTGTCCTAAGAGCTGTGTTATCAGCACAGGGTCAAACTTTGAGGAAGCAAATTCATTGCTGGAACCGAAGAGTGTCTGGTTTTGGATTTTGAGGGAAGGTGAGGCCCACGTTTTAAGAAGCCTGTCTTCCAAGTTTAATCCTTCCAAACTTTTCTTGTAAGTGTGTGTGAGACAGGGTTTCTGAGCAGAGGGTAGCTGGACTACTTACTGACACATGGGAGTATTACTCACTCTCTCTTGCACTGTCTCTCCTGTCGTGGTGCCACTCTATCTGTGTCGTTTCTCATGAACACACTCATCCCTCACTCCGATATAAGGTGCTTCTTTCTTGGGGGGTTTTTGTTTAAAGTGTTTTAATTTTTTTTTGATTTGGGGGGGGAAAAAGACATCTTAATTAAAAAATGTGGTTTATGTTTAACTAGCTTTCAAAGCGATTTTAGTTTTGTTTTTCTGGACTGTTTTGCTGAGCAAAAATTGAAAGACTTTCTAAAATATAAAAAATGCTTTTTTAAAAGAAGAGAAAATGATGTTGACAATTACTTTCTCTGTTAATTACAAAGGCAGAATTTAATTAATAAATTTTTAGACATTTTGAGTGCTGTGGTTCATTTGCAATCTGTAATCTTCATGTATAAAATCACATGATGATACTATCCTTAAGATGCATTTGATGCAGAATTGCTCAGGCAGAGCTATCTATATTCAAGGATATGCAGAAACGTAGTGTTGGGGTTAAAATCAGATCAGCCATGATCTCATTGAATGGTATAGCAGACACAAAGGGATGAATAGCCTACTGTTCCTGGTTTGTAAGGTACAGCACACTGGTAGCAACGTTAGCTGTTACCCAATACTGCTGAATCTTTAGATTTCTGGTGTGCTACCTCCCAATCTAGCCTTTCTGGTGAGGGATGGAGAACGCTTGCTAGATTGCAACTAGGTGTGGAACGAAACCAGGACAGTGGGTCCCCTGCTGACTCCTGGGATATCAGAGGGGTTTGGTACTGAGGCTAATGTGTGTTTTGCCCAACACAGCCAAGCAGGATGACACTTGCAGACACACAGTAAGAACTGCCAATGCTGGTGTCAGAGATAACACACAGTGTGGAGCTGGAAGGACGCAGCATTGGAGGAGCAGGAAAGTTGACATTTCGGGTCGGGACCCTTCTTCAGATTTTCCTGCTGCTCTGGCACTGCCTTATCCAGCTCCACACTGGATTATAGTCTTGCCTGGGCTGCTGCAAGATCTCGGGGTTTTTGAAACTCTCGCTCCACAGACTTTTTTTAAGTAAAAATCTAGCCTCTTCGGAGGGTCAGTGCCAAGGGAGCAGTAGTCCTGGCAGGGTCCAGTAGCATAATTTTTGACTTGGGAGGACGGAGGGGAACGTGAGAGATCCTCTAGTGAGCCATTACGTTCTGGGGGCAGCCTGGCTATCGGGACTCCCTGGAGTTTTGAAGACTGAGATGTGACCTCGCTAAGATGTGGATAGGATTGTTAAGGGGACCTAGTCCTGCATCACGGAGCTGCTCAGGACAAACCTGCAATTTCTTTCGGGATTTCCTTTGCAAAGGCATATTCCTAGAAGGGGGATGTGTGACAGTCTTGTCCACCCCCGCAGTCACTTCAAGTGTAGGGTGTGATGGTGTGTAGAGTCTGGGCGTACATTAAGGATCTCACAGGTA